TTGCAAAGCCAGTAATAAACAAACCAGAGTGGCCTGGTAGAGGCTTTAACACTACTGTACAGCAAACTCCCTCTCTCTCTGTCAGTCTAGGTCTAGATGCAATTTGTGTAGCTTTTCCCGATCACTTTTACGAAGAGGCTTTTCTGCCTTTTGGCCCAGTTTAGATGAGAAATGAGGTATACAGAGCTCCCCAAAAGAGTGTGTTTGCTCTTCTGTGAAAAAAAGCAGAAGAGCAAATGCGTGTCCTGGACACGGCAGGTATCCTGCAAAATCCTTGTAGTCTCGTTGTCTAACTGCCACTACATGGGACAGTGAATCATACTCAATAGGGTATACTCTAGGGTATATCTAGACTATGTTCTTCTTATGAAAGGAGATATGCAAATTTGGTGCTAATTTGCATATCTGCTTCCGATCACTTTTTCGAAAGCAGGTTTTTTTGAAAGTGAAAGCAGTTTAGACATGGTTCTTTAAAAAAAAAAAACTTTTTTCGAAAGAACCTGTAAATCTCAGTTTTTGAGGAAGAAGGTTCTTTCAAAAAAAGTTTTTTTTTAAAGAACCGTGTCTAAACGACTTTTGTTTCTGAAAAAAACATTTTTGAAAAAGTGATCAGAAGAATGTATGCAAATGAGTGTTGAATTTGCATATTTCTTTTCAAAAGAAGAACATAGTCTAGATGTACCCTAGGTGTGCATCTACACTCAACAGCAATGCACAAATGTTTGATAGGTATAAACCTAGAGGCCCACCATTTTCCAGTGTAGTCCCTAGAGGCCTTTTCCATCTCTGATTTCTCTGATTTTAATTTAAACAGGCTGGAGACCTGCATTCAAGTATTACAACATGTGGGTGTCACTTTTCGGAGCCATGTTGTGCTGTGGTGTAATGTTTGTCATCAACTGGTGGGCAGCTCTCATTACTTACGTCATTGAGCTCTTCCTCTATATTTATGTGACATACAAGAAACCAGGTGAGATTGGAAAAGTTGCTTATTGTTTTTGTTCACTTATGTCATGCAGTTAGTTATGGTAACTGTAATCATCCTTAAGGCTATTGTCTAGACTCTATGGTCATTCCCTTTTCAACAGAGCTTCTGCCTTAAGGAGAACTGGAGGCCCCCAAGCACTATGGGCAGAACACAATGAATTACAGTGAAATCCCACTCTACAGATTACTTAAAGCAAAAGCTCTTTGTATTTTGGGTATTACAAACAGCCCAGGGTAGCTCAAAGACTGGTTTAAACACAAAGTTGTACCAGTTTAACTTAAGGTATGATTTTAAACCAATTGAGTTAAGCAGATGTACGTTGTTGGTGTGGATGCTCTGAAATCAGTTTGATAAATGGGCACAATCTAGACTGATATAAACTTAGTGTAAACAGATATTAGAGCATTCATGCAGAGGTAGGCATAGGTTTCACTAAGGCCGCTTTTAAATTTGATTCAAGTTAAACCAATGTATAGAAAAAAGTGTATAGAAAAAGCCCAAGACTAATAGAGAATTTGGGACAAATAGGCAAAAAAAAATTATCACTAAGACATGAGTATACTACTTTAAAGTTTCCAAAATATGGCTCTAATAAAGGTCCTTTCTCTATAGCACATATACAGGCAGTCCCCGGGTTATGTACAAGATAGGGACTGTAGGTTTGTTCTTAAGTTGAATCTGTATGTAAGTCGGAACTGGTGTCCAGATTCAGCTGCTGCTGAAACTGACCGCCAGTTCTGACTTACATACA